TTTATTCAGAACATGGAAGATGTTCTGAATAAAGAACGAAATATTGAATCAAACATGGCTTTCATTAGTCTTTATGGAGTCTGCATAATATTGAGTTATCAGCCCAACAGTTATTGAACTTGATGTCGCAGTCATCTGCCACAGTGAATTCAAAAGTTAAAATGCAGGTCTCCTTTGTACATGTATTATAGGAACTGGGTCCCCAAAATATGCAATCCCCATAATTTTTCATGCATGTAGGTCAGAGTCGCTAAGCTAGTGCAATGATTTTGCCATGTTTTTAGAAGGTGACATGAAAGAATGTTGCATCTTACTTTCACCTTTTCCTCGGTTATGATCTCAGTGAAGTTGCTAAAATGTTGAAATGACATGAATCTGGAGCTAAACAGACCATTTTCTTTAGAAATGAGGAAAGAGTTCCATATATGGATGCCACCTGACACCCCATGCACAAAACCCTATGAGACTGGTCTGAAAAAATTAAAGTGTTTTCTAAGTAAATGAGACTTGGTATTTTCCCTCCTAACTTGAACTTTTCTGGACTTTTTTTTTCTTTCTGAAGGCTGATAGGTCACTGTAGGAAATAATACAGGCGTCCGTAATATGGAACACTTCCTGAAAATAATTGGAGAATGCATTACTTCTCAGAAGACTGGAGTGGAGTCAGGATGCTGCAGTCTTTCCGATGATGTAGTTTTTGAAAATGTTGAAATAGGCGTAGGCCTAAATCTGTTTTTGTCTTTCACTAGTTTTGAGTGCAAATTTTATTTGCAATTTTCGACAGTTGCCGCACACCAAAGACATATTTTGAAACGTTCCAAGTTGAGGTTTGTCTAGCCTTTAACAAGAAATTAACATTTTCACTTCTGAAAAAGTGCCACATGAATTAGAATGTGTCCTTGCTCTCACTGCTTATCAGTCAAATTTTGTCTTTCGTTTCAGGCGACTGGGCAGAGAGATGGGTGAATTCGGAACACAAAGATGACCTGGGAAAGTTCAAGTTGTCCGCTGGAAAATTTTACAACGACCCGGAGAAAGATAAGGGTTGGTACAAATATTTTTTTTTAAGTGTATCATTTGGTAAATGAATTTGTTCATTTGGAATTTCTCCTGCAACAGTTGGGTTGTTGTCTGAAATGACTCAAATAAACGTATGTTTATTTGACGTTAAAACTTCTAAATATAGTTTTCAGACAGATTAACCTGGTGCCAGACTATTTCTGTACAGCTGTTCGAAGTGGTGTTAATGGAAGGAAGCGACAAAGTGTGGTGGGTGAAGTGATGAAATGGCTTTACAAGTGAACCATCTTTCGGGGCTGAAGAACCGCTGATGTTTAGCCACTTTCTGATCATCGGAAGAAAATTTTTCTGGCCTTTGTGAAGTCCAAATGCTTTTTGTTAAAAGAACAGGATAAAATCAAAGTAAATCGTTTTTTTTTTTCACTTTTCAATTACAGGGCAGCAAAATAATGACTTCACACGAGACCGTTTCAATTCTTCAACTTCATGTCCAATTTTAAAATTAGTTTTTGTCAAGAAGAAGGATAACCCGAGTGGCATTTTTCCCTCCTTTGCGAGAGTTTTATGTTAAAGAGTAGGTGTGAATGTTGTTGGACATTGACTTGCAGGTCTGCAGACGAGCCAGGACGCCAAATTCTATGCCATCTCCAGTAAGTTTGACTCCTTCAGCAATGAGGGCAAGGACCTGGTGATCCAGTTCTCCGTCAAGCACGAGCAGAAGATCGACTGCGGGGGCGGCTACGTCAAAGTGTTCCCGGGCGACCTGGACCAGTCGGACATGCACGGCGACTCGCCGTACAACATCATGTTTGGTAGGTATTGACTGCCGAGAAATGGAGTCATGTGCGATGTGGTGCTTTGCAGATAGTGAGTGGATTTGTTTATTTCGCCCTTCCTAAAAAATTGCTGGGCCTGAAAAAGGCGAGTTTTTAAAAATTGAAAACCAAAACACAGTTCCACTGAAGAATTTTGGTTACCAGGTGCACGTAGCTTTCCCTGACCCTAGGCCAGCCAGATGTAGTACAGTCCATCAGGTGAAATTCAGAAGAGCAGTTTCTTCTGGAACCATCCTGATCGTCCCACGGAAATCCATCACCTTGTTATCTGTTCGGAAATGTCATCAAGCCCAATAAAACATAGCTGAGCCTGCATATCACCTCATAATTCTCTCGTACCACCAGATTGGGAGTTTTGAGTGCATACCATGAAATTTTCTCTCAACAGTTTTTAAGACGAAGAGTTTACAGTTTAATTCAGGACTAACCCTATCAGTCCTCAATCCTCCGAATTCAGCATGATTTTACATATTTAGGGACCTAGGGTAATGTGTCCATGGAGAAACATCTACTTAAAAAAACCATTTCTTTATTTGAGGGAGTCTGGATTTGCCTCTCTGACACAGTCTTAAAGTCTAAAAAAAAAAATCTGCGTCATTTAATGAAACTGTTTCAGAAAGTAGTCCAGCATCTTTGTAAAGGTTGCAAACACATTTGAAGGCCAGGTCTATGAATAAAGTATGTTGGTGACGTGATGAAATGGCTTATTAACAATCAACCATCTTTCGGGGCTGAGTTCACTGATGATGGGCCTTATTCTGATCACCAAAATCTGACGTCCATTTGAAGATATAGGGCCAATTTCATGGTAGCTATAGACCGGCTGTTTTGGTGGAGCTTAGAGCATTTTGACTTGAGCCCCAATGACAAGTAAATGACATCAGTCCCCAAATTTACATCTCACTTGCCTGTTACTGCTTCAGGACCCGACATCTGTGGACCAGGCACCAAAAAAGTCCACGTGATCTTCAGCTACAAGGGAAAGAATCTTCTGACAAAGAAAGACATCAGGTGTAAGGTGCGTGTCTGTGCTGGGGACCGGTCAGTGAATGTTAATAGTAACCGATGTCTTTGAGAAGAAATCAGACATTTTCAGTGAATGTGGAAATCACCGTCTACAAAATGTTAACACCCACGTGATTAAGCAGCAACGATAATCTGATGATAAGTATGAAGTCGATCGTTCCTAGCACAGCAGATCAGCTTATCAGATTTGATTACTGCTTATGAATGATTGACTTGAGAAGAAATTCAGTATCCAGGAATTTTGTTGGGCAGATTTTCTTTTGTGCACGTTGATGAGGTTATCCTTTGTGAGCATGTGCAGAGAGAGAGGCCCGACCTGACATTGTCAGTAACTCACAAGTGGAAGCATTACCTTGGTCATGCTTATTTTTGCTTGAGTCGACCCTGGGTTTTTCCGCTTGCCAGGCCATTAATCTTGTCTGTGGGGTAATGTCAGTTGTTGTTAAAGTCAAATGTCTTGCTCAGGGACACAACGCATTCCAAGCACAGGAGCACAGCTTGTGAGTATCGTACCAATAGGCCATATTCACATTCATTTCCCACGTAGGACGACGAGTTCACCCATTTGTACACCCTGATTGTCCGCCCCGACAACACGTACGAGGTGCGCATCGACAACAAGGAAGTCCAGAAGGGCAACCTGGAGGAAGACTGGGATTTCCTGCCTCCCAAAAAGATCAAGGACCCAGAGGCCAAGAAGCCAGAAGATTGGGATGACAATGCCATGATCGATGACCCCGAGGACACCAAGCCAGAGGTGAGGACCTTCAATCAAGAGGAAAGGGAGGGTGGCTGTGTTCCAAATTAGTATTGGATATTTTTTCAAGAAGAACCCAAAGAGTAGAGGTGTTGTTTTGAATTCCACCTGTCCTCATGGCCTGGCAAACATGGTTTGACCATGGAAGTGCCTGCAAGATGTTGCCAGCGTGTAACCCTGGAGATTTTCGGGACTTGCTCATGCAACTTGTATCCTTATTTGGTGTGGTTTGCTTTGCCGACTCCGAACAGGATTGGGAAAAGCCAGAGTTCATCCCCGACCCTGATGCCGTGAAGCCTGATGATTGGGATGATGAGATGGATGGAGAGTGGGAACCGGCTACCATTAACAACCCGGAGTACAAGGTATGTTTTCTGTCGTGGTCGCAGTGGCACTTAACGCTGTTGATAGAACAGAATCTTCCAACAGTTAGAGAATTCAGCGTTTTGATTTGAGGATAAAGAAAGAGTGTAACGTGTTTTTTGCCCCCGCAAAACGTCATATTGCTCCTTTCTGATAAAAAAACTCCCATTTCTGGCTATGATGTTGTAAGATATGTGACACAGAGCTCGCCTACGGTGATGGCCTGAGCTGTGTCCATAACCGATGCTGTATACGACTACAAGGGATCTGGAAACTGGATTATGCCATTCACACTGCAGCTAGAAAGGGTTTCTTTTTGTTTAAAGACCAGTCTTGATAATTTACTGAAACTTGCCGTCCATTCATAGTAACTTCCTTGATTCTAAGTTATTGAGTAGCTAGTGCCAACTGTTGCATAAGGGGATTTTTTTTTTCATTGTTCAGGGCGAGTGGAAACCCAAGCAGATCGATAACCCAAATTACAAAGGCGAGTGGGTTCACCCGATGATCGACAATCCCGAATATGAAGCGGACGACACACTTTACCTTTACAAAGACTTTGGCGTTCTAGGACTTGATTTGTGGCAGGTGAGTCTTGGACATCATCACATTGGAGAAGGATTTAGTTATTGTTCAGAGGTTAGACATTAGGCTGTGTAGTTGGAAAGGTGTCATTGTGAATTTACCAAAGGGTAGCATCTCTGTGATAAGTGCTACTTCTTGACTGATAAATGGCAGGAAGGAGCCAAAAGAATTAGTACTAACTGGTACTGTATTTGTCGCCCTCAACAGACTAGGCGCAGGGCTATTAGCAGGCCTATCACATCTACCAGTTGCTGCACATTTGCCCAGTAAATATGTGCTTGCGGTCATTTCTTGAAGAAAGTTACTGCCCGCTGGTTTCTGCTTGTCATCATTTTCTGCCTTTTACTCTCAATGAGATACCAAGATTGAAGTTCCAGTTGTCCACATTCAGTTCCCCCCCCCAAGGGACTTTTGTGTGAAAGCAGTGTGTCACTCCTGTAGATGTCAACACAGGTCGCATTGCCTGTGAAAGTTTATATGAAATGGTCCTTGCTATCTGCCACATAGAGTACCGAAGTGTGACGTCACTGTGAACCAGAAAGTGCAGTGCAAACGAATGTTGGTTCACACGCCGGTTCTCGCGCTAATGCCTTTTACACACTAATTATGCGCGTGACGTATTCACTTTGGTACTCTATAGCTGCAGTTCTGAAATGCAGGTACGAGATTAGGCTTTTACATTTTTTCCCATGAAGTGTGTACGTTCCAAGCAAGGGGCCACACAGAGCACAGGTGATGACCAGTTTTTACCGGATTATGAATTTAATGATTCGAATACGATTCCTTTCTGATGTGCTCCCTTGGCTGGCCCCAATCTCAAAGTCGTCCTCTCAAGTTCAAAGACGCCTTGATCCTTTCCCGACAAAATGCTCGGGCAATCATTTTACAATCTACATGTATCAAACAAGACCATTACTGATTTGGGTCAAGCCATCAGTGATTGTGTAATCCAGATAAGAGTTCAGGTGATGTTTTGTGTGACCGACTGTTCACTTAAGCTGGTTTTGTGCTCGTGCAGCAGTGTTATGAGGTACTGATGTTGTGTGATGGATTTGTCTTGTCCGCAGGTAAAATCGGGCACTATTTTTGACAACTTCCTCATCACAGATGATGTCAAGGAAGCAGAAAAACAAGCAAACGATTTATGGAAACCCACAAAGGTATACCTTTTCTCTTCAGTGATCTGTGTTTGGCATTCCTGTATTAAATTCTTGTGCAAAACTTCAATGAACGCAACAACCCTCAAAGCCTGTCGTTTTTCTGTTATTCCTCCAGGCAGTTAACCTGTATTGCAGGTTAAGGGCTGCGAGCGAGTTCATATTGTTAGCAATTATGTTAACCCCGAAAGCTGTCGCTGAGCATATTTTGATTGTGTTGAGTTTAGAAGAATGTTTCCTTTGATGTGTTGCAGTCATTTTGACTTGAATAAGGTTAAAACAGGATGTAACCGTTCTTGCTCAGTGCCGGTCAAGTTCCTGACAGAGGATGGCCATATTTGGTCAAGTTTCCTCACAGACGTGCTCAATGCACGGGTCGGACGTGCACGAAAGCGTGAACTAGACATGACCATTAAAAAAGGCCTGAAGTTGGCTGGAACTGAAACTTCGTAGATTTACTGTTAAGGAATGTCTCCACATTCGTGAGAAGTGTGGAAAAGGCAGTTTCATGGGCAGATGGTATGCACATGTGATAAACCCATTTACCCAAAAGGATAATGCAGCTTTGTACAATGCGCACATCTCAAGTTGAATGAACGCGCTAGCGGAGTACCATCGCAGCAGTACCGCCCCCCCCCGGTTTATCAGTTCGCAATTCAGCGGTAACCCGTTGCGCCCTTTGCGTTCCAGGAAGGCGAAAAGAAGATGAAAGACAAGCAGGACGAGGAGGAGCGGAAGAAGCGGGAGGAAGAGGAAAAAAAGAGGAAAGAGGAAGAAGGGGACGACGAGGATGAGGAAGGCGAAGAAGACGACGAATTCGGTCTGAGCCCCGAAGACCTGGAAGGCCTGGAAGAGGGCGAGGACCTAGAGGCCGACGAGCCCCCAGAGGGCGACGCGGATGAAGAGACACAAGCGAAGGACGAACTGTAGAGAAAGAGAGAGAGAAAGAAAGAGAAGAAATTTGCAAAATTATTTAGGGGGCAGGGGAATATTTTGGGTTCACCTAGTTTAGTGTGGGAAACAATTAAGTTATGCTGCAATACATGGTCCTTGTGATAACTCTTGCACAGTTTGTACAAGTCGTGGAGGTGTTCCCTTTCGTGAGTGGTCACACTTTTTATTGGTTTGGTTGTTGCAGTTTGGGGTTTTTTTTGGGGGGGGGAGGTATTTGATAACTGCCTAGCACGTTTTGTCATGTCCACATTAAAATCTGCAGCTTGACTTGCCCTAGGGATGTTGAATTAGTGCACTTTCAATATTTTAATGGTGGGCACTGGATGCATCGAAAGTCTCCACTCCGCTACAGCAAGTCTCCAAAAATATTGCAAACACAAGTTCAGGCGTTTTTTGGTGCATGTTGGTGATAGTTTTTTAATCCAAGGAGTGGAATGTATGCAGTATTCGCAGTCATGGATGTTAAAAATGGATGTTACTGTCGTTCAGCCCAAGCTTCGTGCCACTGTAGAAGTGCTACCCAGTGAAGAGTGATTTTGTTGCAGGCGGATTGACCCCGAACTTGTATTTCATAAACTTACAAATCTAATACTGTAAAAAAAAGTACTTTTGTTGGCACAAAATATCAACCATTCACATTTCTTGGGCTGTGTTATGAGTGGTCCAATCATTTGATTTTAAATTGTGGGGTCTTGAAAAAGTTGCTTTTCCTGTTAAATTTTATTATTAAGTTGACAGTACGCCAAATTATTTTTATGTATCGAGGGAAACTTCTTCAGGCTAAAATGAACGACATCACCGAACAACCAAGTTTCAAGCACTGTACCTGCCTTTTTATAACCCATAAGGGTATGGTCACGTCTGTTGTTAAAAGAGTTTTTGTTGCAACAGTTAAAACATTTTGTGTAGAACATCGGAGCTCACAATACAAAGCGACCTTTGTTGACAAAAAAGACAGGTACTTGTGATGTATGAAGCATAAAATGATTGATTTGTAGAATTTTGTTAAGTCCGCCTAACAAATTAAGCCAGAAACTTTTTTGTATGTTCTCATCAATTTGTCGAGGGGAGTTCACGCAGATTGTTTTCCTGAGAGTGATTTAGTGTTCGGGTTATGCCCTGTTGAAGGTGTTCTGGAATAAAAGGTCCCACCACTTCCCCAACGAATGTTTTGTCTTGTTTGATTCTTATGCATGGGTCTGTTGAGAAGACGTGTGTGTACTCGTGGGCACTGCCGGAAGGAGAAAAGCTGTGGTTTTTTTGGGGGGGGGAGGCAAAGTACCCATCAGCTGCAAACTGACTATCCAATAGTATGATAATTGCTGTCTCATGGTTAGGGCTGATTGCTCATCTTTATCCCCTTTCGTGTCCGTTTTTATTCCCCCCTTTTTTTTGTGAGGGGGCACCCCCCCCTGTCCCGCTGTCGCCCCATATTTGCACTTGCAAGTACTCCAGCAAGTACATGTACATTGTACTGTGTAGGAGAAGCGTGAGTTAGTTTTACCTGTTTAAAGCAAGACCAAAATATTTTACTTTGGAAACGTTTGGGTAAGAAATTGAAAGTTGCCAAGGCATTCTTCAAGTTGGTGGTTGTTTACTTTAAAGGTTTGAAGTAAAATGACTCTTAATGTTGCCAACCAACTGTCCTTGTTTTCAGTTGATGCATGTCTCAAGCGTGCTGATTTTTTAAATGTTCCAACAATTAGGGGGCAATGGTCATTTTTTGCCATTTTATTTGTCAGATTTCAGACTTCACCCCCTCAAACCCTTCATCCTCATTATGCTATTTGACCAGTGACATAATGACTTCCCTTGGAAGGCTTGTGCCCCTCGCTGTATGCTCAGAATTTGGCATAAAGACAAAAAACCCTCATTTCTCGTACCATGGACACATTCTTTGAGTGCCTTTTTCTTTCAGAACAGCAGACTTCCCAAACACACCCACGACCCACCCCAGCCTACTATACATCCGCCCCTCCTCTTTTTTTTGTTAAACTTGCAGTAGTGTAACAGTGTTCCAATTGGCCACTTACAGGCGCCGAAGAAATACGCACGCGCTACCTGCAGTTGGTCAAGTTGTGTCGCTTGCTTTACTACACTAGAGGACTTGAACAAGTTTATGGTGTCATTTCCAAGATGGAGGCTCCAAGGGAAAAAGAACACCTGCTTTCGTTGAAAGGTTGGCTGGATTTTTACATAGTTTGTTATTTATGTTGTAATTTGAATGTATTTGTTAAGCCTCCTTGTCATGGTAGTTCAGATTATGAATTAGATGAATATGAATTAGAATCAGTGAGGAGGTAGCCTAATATTGAAAACGGCGTTTCCAGTTTTTGGTTTTTCAACAAAGTGTGAACTTGATGAAATTGAAAGTCAAACTCAAACAGTGACACTTGTATTCCAAGCAGTGTTTTTTTCCAGGCCTAGTTCATGTTCATTCTTGTTGCTGCATTCCACGTTGTGCATGTACATGTATTGTTCAATACATGTACAGTGGTGGGAAAGTATGTTGCAAACTTGCATCCTGCCTCCACTTTTTACATCATAATCCTGGGTATGGGCTAGCCCCACTAGTGTGGCACGGATCACTCCCGATTTGTCCTTATGGATCGGGAGTGAGAGTCCGTGCCACACTAGTGGGGCTAGGTATGGGCCTAGAACAATAATACAGTAGGCCTAGGCTATCACCGTATGATATCAGTAGGCCTATGTCATCTCAGTAAACATGGGTAAAGCCTTCAGTCGTTCATGTCATTGCAGAAGTGCTGAAAAGACATGAATCTCAAACTGAGAAAAATTTTCAATTTTGTTTGGAGATGCCTAAATGTATTTTCTTAACTATGGACATGACAGACAACACTTAAAGCCCTGTGCACAAACCTGTTTGGGACTTGTCTGAAAAAACTTAGGCCTAAGTGTTTTTTAAGCAGGCCTAGGTTTAAAGGCTTCGGAATTTTCTTAGCTAAATTTCACTTTCAAGGACATGTTATCACTTTTTGCTGGCTTTTGTAACATTTTAATATGGGAAAATTAGTGTTGTCCGTATACATAGCTCTTTCCGAGTCGGGGGTGGGGGGCTTACTTCAACCCTGGGCACATCTTTGGATCTCTAAAAGTAGAACTAAGTTCACTTTAAGAGGGAAAATACCAAGTTGTTAACTGAGAAAACACTTAGAAAATTGGAGACTAGTCTCATAGGGTTTGTGCACGGGGTGTCAAGTGGCGTCCGTATATGGAACTCTTCCTGAACTAGCACGTAATCATAATAATTAGTGAGGCTGCTTGGCAGTGTACAATAAATGTATAAATAATGTATGAATGTACGTCAGGTACCGGTGGGCATGGTAGGCCAGATATGTATGGACATTTGTGACATTGTGAGTGTGACACTAGATAGGGAAAAGATTTTGGAAATAAGGTAAAGAGTAAATAACAGGAAACATTTAAAAAGTTGTGTATGATATTACTGGTAGACTTGTTGGGCATGATGGGTAACCACGTTTTCAAGATTAATGTTTTTCAAAAAGGGTAAAAGGTTTAAAAAGTCAAAAGTCACTTTAGAATGATGAGAACAAGCCTAGGCATGCTTGGTACATTAACCCCGCTTGGATTAAAATATCAAATTACTTTACTTCAGGTCTAACTCTTTTGTGTGTTTCTTTCCCCTGAATGACGTTCCACTTTTGCAGTCATGCGGTTGACCAAATCCTCATTCATCACCACAACTCCAGTATTATTTGAGGCCAGGGATATAGCAGGTGAGCATAAAATCCCCCCCCCCAAAAAAATTCCACTTTAGGGGCCATCGGACAACAGTTGCACATCCTTGATACTTAATCTATTGTTCTACTGCAAAGTACATGTACATTTGATCGCGGCATGGATCTATGTAAGGCATACAGATATCCACCAGGATGCCTTTTGAGGTATCTGTGAGGATTCTTTAGTTAATCCCTGACACATCGCCTAATCTTGGCATAAATGTTCGCACACAACATGGTCCTAAAATCTTTATCAGAGGCACTTCAAACTTTGCAAATACAAATATCATAGTAATTAATCCTAACTCTGCCGGGTATTTTGGCTACAAACCCTGCCAAACTCGTTGATTAGCATCATTCATACATGTATGCTGCCTAGTGTAACAAGATCTAACAGGTTGACCGTCCTCATAGCCAAATGGCCTAGGAGTCTGTAATTGCCGGTCACCACAAGAGCCAACAATGGCATTGTTTAATGGGACCAACTCTCATTGTCTCAACCTGGGTAGTTTGCTCTGTCGATGTTAATTGTAATGCTACAAAGTGCACCAGACTTTTAGACCTGGGTGTGGCAGGATCTGATCAATGAACTTAATTTACTCCATCACCCCCCCCCCCCAATTATTTCTTGTTTTTAGGTGGCTCTGCAGGAGGTACATTAAGCGACATCTCGCCTGGTCTTGGCCTACCCTCTGGCTTGGAATGCTTCGGTGTTGGAGAGTTACTCATGCTCCCGCAGAACTTTGGGTGAGGAGATGCCAGTCGCATATCTCGTAACACACCCTGCAAGAGTCCAAATCAAATTGGTTTTCCCTCTCGACTGTTTTCTTTCTCAGTTTTTTTTTTGTTGAGAAATCAAACGGTGGGCACTCTGATTAGCTGAACTTCAGTCAATTTGTGGTTGAGTGCCTGAAATTCCCCAGAGTCCAAGCCTTGCATGGTTCAGCAAATTGACTACGGCTGAGTTGGTGCTGTAAACCTTTTTTGGTTTGTGCCTCTTCCAACAAGGCTTTTACTTTGTACTGTACCTACATGCAGGGGTAAATGGGCACTTGAGGGTACAGAGGTGGTTATTAGTTTGGGACCATTTTTAGAGCCAATGATTTTCCGTTTCAAAAATGGGCATTTTCTGTTTCACAAAATCCTGAATTCCGCTTCTGAAATTCAAATTCCGTTTCGTACCTTAGTAAGCACAAAAAGGGAGAGCAACTTGTAAACTATGCATGAAAACTGTTTGCCCACTTCCCCCCCCCAGAAAAAAAACGAATTCGTTTGGAAACACTCTGCAATGTTATGAACATTCTTTAAACAATTTTATGCTGTGAAAATTTGAAAAAAAATCTACCGAATAGTTATGGCTTCCGTCGATTTCTCCTCCGGGTGATCGTCGAAAACTTACTACAGTTAATCAGCGGACAATACACATGTCACTCCTCGTGTGCAACATAAGATTACATTAAAAACATGTACAGTGCAGTCATGGAGTAAGTCCTGCATGCAGTAGCTGTTGATCACAAGATGTTAATGTTGGACATTGAACCACCGTTTTTATTTGGCAGTGGTGCGACGAAATTTGGAAAGTTGACATCAAATCTGGGCCTTAAAATGCATGTTTGTGAGTAAAACCTTTGCTGTTCATCAAGGACTTCCAAGTGCCTATTCAGCTATAGTGCACCAAGCTCACTAGGTTTCATTTAATTCAAGAAAAATGCAATTTGTCTTCCTTTTTCTGTCACGGTTTGATCGTTTCACCATACGGTACTAGCCTCGTCTCAAGGTGTTTATTCAGACACACAGACTGAATTCCCCATGTAAGTAATTAGCATATGCGTGAGTATGAAGCTACTTGGGGCTTGATTTTGTTGCTAGTACAGTGCACGCGTGAACGGCTAGTGTGGGCACCACTGCGCTTTGTAAATGTCCATTATTATCGTCACGTGCTGTTGTTATAACCAATAGGAGCATCTATCTGGGAGAGACCTTCTCCTGCTACGTCAGCGTCCACAATGACAGCAGTCAAGTGGTCAAGGACATCCTGCTCAAGACAGATCTCCAGACCAGCTCGCAGCGCTTGACGCTGTCCGGCTCGGGCACACCGCCCCACGGGGAGCTGACACCCTCGCAGTGCATCGACGAGGTCATCCACCACGAAGTCAAGGAGCTCGGCACTCACATGTGAGTTAGCCCAGGGAGAAGTAGGCTTTTTCGGACCGTCCTTAATCAAACATGTTTAAACATAGACTGTTCTGAATTAAACATATACACTCTTTACGTTCTAAAGGGTATTATGCAGTGTTGGAGTCGAGTCCTCAAATCTGAGTACAGAGTTACTCCGATTACTTTAGGGGCAGAGTCCCAGGCCGAGTACAAGTACCGATACACTGGTGACGAGTTGACCAAGTACAAGTAGAGTCCGAGTCCGAGTAAATAACAGCACTATGATTTCCTGTAGTCAAAGCTGTAGAGGCAGAAACTAGACGAGCAGAAATGCAATCGTTATAGCTTGTCACCCAGCACCTGAAAATGCTATCGATAATTAGTGGAGTACCCAATTTCTTTCTCGAGTACTAAGTTCAAGTACCTACACGGAAGAGTTGAATACGCCCAAAATCCAAGTACAAAGAACTGAGTATGGCCAAGTTCAATGAATTTTTAAATACTGATAATTGAGTATGGGCTGAGTATCTTGGTGTACTCGAAATGTACTCAAGTGTGAGTGTAAGTACTCCAACACTAGTTTTGTGAGAAGTGAGGTTGACCAGTATCGGATGGCTGTCTTTAATGACAGTTTCTTATCACTCCTTTCTGTTTTGTAGTTTGGTCTGTGCTGTTAGTTACACGACCCAGGCTGGAGAAAACATGTACTTCAGAAAGTTCTTCAAGTTCCAGGTGAGATTCCAATCATTTTGGTGAAAAGTCCTTTACAAACAAAACATTTAGTTGCATGGTAGCTCCCAAGACAACATGAAGGTAACAAAACTCGAAGGAATTTGCAGGATCAAAGAATTTAGTCTGCGTAATTTGGGCATTCCTTGCACCTTCCTAACTCTCAGTCGTAGGCAGTAAGCAGAGTAATTGGGGAGCATATTTGAGGAAGTACAAACCCATTTAGTAAAGAGACCACTGTATGAAGCCTGCCTATCAAGTAGGGTCAAATCCACAGTTTCTAATCAATGAGGTTTTTGAAATTTCAACTGAATACTTTTTTCCCCAGGTTTTGAAACCCCTAGATGTCAAGACAAAATTCTACAATGCAGAGGTAACCTTTGACCTTTGAAAAATCTCTTCATTTGTTGCATATTCATGTGACACATAAGCATGCAATTTTTTTATTTACAGACCGGTGCATTTCTTAAATTTGGCAAAATCAGTTTTTAAGACTCATATTAAGGTAAATTTTGCTTCAATATTTTTGAAAAAATTCTTTGTTCTTTTATGTTTGTTCTGTTTTTATTGTTAGACGAATCATGGTGCTTGTGTACTTCAAAGTTGCTTGATATTGTGAACAAATAGTGGTATATATGCATTTTCTAATACAAGATCAGAATACAGAGCACATGACACTGAAATGAAGCGACGTACAAAAAGTGTGCATATTTTGTATTGCATGTAATATCACTCATGAATATGCATAGTGTTTTCTTACATACGCTGATGATGAAAGTTTTGGTGTCATGCCTGGATTTTAATCGCATATTAACCCTGACCTCACTCTCGGTGCCCTGCTGAATGCAACAGATTCCAACAACATCCAAGGGTACAGCCCTCCACATCAGACAGATACATGTAGCAACAGCTTTTATAAACCTATAAGCCAGTAGAAATTGCCTGCTGTCAGACAGCATTAATAGTCGAGTACTTGGAGGTACTTTGATTTAGTTCTCAGATCATCACAAACTTAAGCAGATATTGCCTAATATCAGACTCTGTTAATAGTCGAGTACTTGGAAGTACTTTGATTCACTTCTCAGATCATCACAAACCTCAGTAAAAATTGTCTGCTATCAGACTCTGTTAATAGTCGAGTACTTGGAAGTACTTTGATTCACTTCTCAGATCATCACAAACCTCAGTAAAAATTGTCTGCTATCCGACTGCGTTAATAGTCGAGTACTTGGAAGTACTTGCTTGTCAAATGTAGCAACAGACACATTGAGCGTTGACAGCAAATAGAGTGAGTTCAAAAAAAAAAGAGCGACATTGGATACATAAAAATACCCATCACATGTAATTAAGCTTCAGATGGAGCTACTTGAAGAGTACTGGACAAGTGCCTATTAAGTTGATGATGAATTGTGCTTCTAATGATGTTAATGAGAATGCATGAACATCTCAAATTCTCAAAGCTACTATATAATTTTCAGATAAGTTCAAATCAAGGATCAGATGTAATACCTTGTCATGTTTAAATTCATTTGATGACTTTTCCCCCTTTCTCACCACCTTTTTTTGTTCCTGAAAGCCTAATGCTGTGAGACGCATGGTTAAGGTAGTGTTGCGCATTGGAGCCTCTTGAATTGTCGATGAGCACTAACATAAACTAACCAATTAGCCCTGTCGTGTATCTCGTTAAATGCAGAATTTTTAATACAAGGTCTCATGCTCTCTGTAGTGATGTCTTAAGCACTGCATGATCGGTGCTTTTCAGAAGATTGTAAAAAAGAAAAACAAAACCAAAAAAAAACCAAGCAAAGAGACATCCCTCCAAAACCGACAAGCTCACCTGGGTGGAACTCGAACCCACAACCCACTGTTTCATGAGCCTGCTTGTGAGGATTAAACTTGGGCATCTAGTTTGCCTGAACTTGTACTCATGGCTGATTAGTGGGTAGACCTTTGTATCAGAATTTACCCCTGATCGAAACTTGCACCTTTTGTGCAAACCAGTGCTTGCTAACATTCTGGCATTAGGTGATGTATTTTTACCACACACGTTTGTGTTATTCCAGTTTTGAAAAATAAACCCATCGTTTTGACCTGCTTTTCTTGCAAACAAAATTGCACTGATATTGCACATGATGGGTTGATTTGTTTTCAGCGTTCATGTGCACAACATGTGCTGGTAATCAGATTTTTTTTCACTCCGGCCTGTTACTTTGTATAGAAATGCGTTGTCTTTGTTACATTGTTGAAAACGTTACCCAGCTAATGAATTTGTTTTTGCCCCATTGTGGATTTGTTCTGCATGTACCGTTGTTTGTGGCCTCTGCGTTTTCCGTCGTGACCTGCCGCACGCCTTGTTGTATGTATGCTTGAGCAGGATTATGTAGTAAGTGTGCCCCTTAATCTGATTTTTGCGTCAGTTGTGACTTGTCGTAATCACTTGGCTTTGACTGAAAAGTACACAGACCCAATGGAAGCCACGAGCTTATTCAGCCAGCGGCTTCGTGCATTTTGCATTGACTCGTGTCATTTGCAGCCGTTGCCAAGTGATTTAGACATTGCCTCATTAATCTTGACTGCCTACACCTTTCATGTTGGTTTGGACTGTGTTAAGAAACTAAAGAAGGCGGTTTGTTTGGAGGACTTCGGTTTCACTGATCCCCTGCATGGTGTTCTTCCATTTACATTGGAGAATGTGTACCTGTACCAGGGAGGGTGGGGTTGTGTGACAAGAGCAAAGTAGACCGGTTCCTGGTTCCCTCAATATACTTTCCAGAATGTGGAAGCAGGGGACAGGAACTGGTCCTGAAGTGAGAGCTCTTATCTCACTGGTTCCCTCGTTCTGTAAATCACATCTGAAATGTCACCTCATACCAGGGAAGCCTACAGTGGGCTGTATCTGAATTCCTTTGGATGCTTCTGAACCTGTTGTCCAGAGCTAGGTCTAGACTTTTGTGCATTGGAAATGAGGCGGGTGGGGGGGTATGTTGACATATGGACTCTGGAACTCTATCCGGTTCGTGAGTGACTTCCTCACAAAGGCGGACGTGCCATGATTTGCAGGCTCTCATTGGACAATCGCTGAAGTTGCGCGTTAAATTCCAGTTCCATGGTTCCATATAAATGCCGATCAATGCACGTAACCCTATTTGCAGTGCACGTGTGCAGTGGGTGTGGTTTAAACTGAAGTGATGTCACACTTACGAACCGGATAGCTCTGGAAGCCGGACATGGCTTAGGGTGTGGGTGGAACGTAAGTAAAAAAAATGCTGTAATTGGCTTCCAGCATTTCCCGTAGATTTGTGTGCTACACTCAGTAACAGCCAGTTAATTCAGACGTGGCCTGTGTCTCATAACCACTAAGGAATTATACTCGCCGACTACGAGTCCAAAGCTCCTTTTAACCAAGTCATTCTGTGATTGCTAACAAATGCATTGTAGGGGGCTACGATGAAACTGTGAGATGAACCCATGCAGTAGCCTACCAGTGTCTAACATTTCATTGGTTGTAAATTGTAATGCTCCAAGATGATTCCTTGGAGTTTAATTGGCAAAGAGCTTTTACTTGTAAGCAGAGATGCGGCGAAAGGCACCCTTAAGTGCATGGATTATGAAACCAAATTAATTTGACCCAGCATGATCTCTCAATTGATTTAGCTGTGCTGGCCTTCTCAGACTCCATGCTGTTGTGGCAGCATTCTTGCTCATTTCAAAGGATAGTGCAGTCCTTCATGTAACAGAACTCAGTGATCACGTATTCATTGTTTGTTTCCTCTGCTAAGTCGGATGAGGTTTATCTGGAAGCTCAAATCCAGAACATCACTCAGTCGCCGATGGTCATGGAACGAGTCTTACTGGAGCCCACAGCCGAGTACACAGTCCGGGAACTGAACGTGATAGAACCAGACAACAAAAGGTACTTTAACCACGTGCTGCCGGGTGCTTTTAAAAATGCAGTGCTCACATACGGGAGATTTTTAAGATTTTCCGTTTTCAAATTCTTCAAAAATTCATCATTTCAATTAATGGACATTTACACCCACACGAATGACTGTTTGGTGGCTACTCTAAGCTGTTAGACAACCTCCATTGACGCCTGAGTATTTCTGCCAGGCCTGCTGCCCTGTAAAGAGAGCCCAGAATTGTGAGGTGTTGTGTAATTTCTTTTGTCCCCAGTGAATGCAAATGGCATCTTTTCAAACGCGGTAGGATTAGCATGCAGCGGTGCTGTGTCGCTTATCAACGGGGCCCTGGAGCACTTTTGTCCGTGGTGCTAATCCGCAGGTGCGCAATGCCCAAAACAGTGGTATACTGTTTCAAAACAGTGACGGATTACCTCCGACAAATGCAAGCCAAAAAATGATGGCTGTTCCCAGCAGCAGGTCTTTTTTTCCGAGTACAGTCTTTTGTTACACGGACCAGTTCTTTTGTCAGATTTCGGGCATCCCAGCTCTGAACCCATGGTGCCCGAAATGGGCTTTCCCGGCAGCAAGTGGTTAAGCTGGTGCCTCTCAGCTGAAATTGAGCGTGTGAACCCTCTGACGTGCCATAGCTTCTGAGCACACGGGGCAAGTAGAGTTTGGGTGCAGCTGCGTGCTGGAATTCAACCATTAGTCAATTGCATTTAAACAAATGTTCACATGTAATACAGCCACACTCAAATGACCCCAATATCGTCAAATCAGTTCACGCACATTTGGCTGCTGGGCGCAGCTCTTACAGCAATCCTGCTCAATAACATCTTATACAATTATTTTCATGTAAATGGCTCTCTCCAATACTTATAAACTAAAAAGGACACCGATAACCATTGATGTGACCATACCCCAGGACCTGGTTCCAAATGGTCAACAAGATGGTCCAAACCAGTCTTTGTTCAGACGGTGTTGGTGGAACTGTGGTTAACTGTAGTTGTCGCTCAAACTCGTCCACAGAGTATTCAATCTGGCCATGCGTTTTATGTTGCAGCAGCTCGGAAACAACGTTTGGGAGCTTCAGCTATCTCAATCCCCTGGACACCAGGCAGTACCTGTACTGTTTGAACACTAAACCCCTGCCTGGCTCAGACAAGCCCGCTGTCATCAAAGGCGTGTCCAACATCGGCAAGCTGGACATAGTCTGGAAGACCAGCATGGGCGAGAGAGGCCGCCTACAGACCAGTCAGTTACAAAGAATGGTAAATCTGGCCTCTCGTGTCGTCGTGAGATTCACTGATGACGTATATAAAAGTCAGGAAATTTCATCATGTCTCGATTTTGGGAAAGTATCATATACAAATGTGACCCGCTCTGCCAAAAAGGGTAATAAGTTATGCAATGCCAAAACACGTCGTGGCCTGATCTATTTTGAGAGGGCAAAATTTCTTCAAAAATGTTATTTTCTGTTTTTTCCTTGAATAGCTTCTATGATATTTATATTTTCAGAATTTGTGACTACAAACATGGATTCTGATGAAGAAAGATGAAAAATTGATCATTCAGTAGGAAATCCTACGTAGAATTGTGTTTCCAAGAGGTACACTTTGTGAGCTTTTTCTTGGAAAGTGCCTTTATTGAATCTGAAAATGTGGATATACAAATGTCCAAATATCTCCGGAATGCAGCGCACTTCCGGGGTCATTCATATATCAAATTGAAGCTTGAGATGTACAGAATCAAGTCATATCACATACTCATAACCTGAAACTGGTGACTTGTTACCCATTTTTCTAGAGCCGGTCACAAGTGTAATTTGTTGAAAGTAATATTTTATTGTAAGTTTTAATCGGTACAACATACCTGTGATGCACTTCTAACCATTTTATTGCCTTTTTTGAGAGGTCCAGGCTCCTTTAAGTAATTTCAGTGGTTTGACAAGGACAACAGAGATTTCTGGGTTTTTTTCCTTTTTTTTTTAAATTTCACAGGCACGAGGTCATTAATTTTTTGTAGGGCCCTCATGAACGATAAAGTCTTGTCATGTTGCCGTTTAATGATTTCATGATTGTGATTATATTTGCGTGTTTTCTTTCTCTGATTCATTTAGGCTCCTGGGTATGGCGATGTCAAACTGAACGTAACCAGGGTACCAGACTCCATCACCATAGAGAAACCATTCCAGATCCAATGCAGAATCACCAGCTGCTGGTAAGAACCAGACTAAATTGTGCACGTACCTTAAAGCAACCAAGTTCTTTGTTTTTGCCAACTGCGTTTAAGAACAAAGGCAAGAACTAGTGTGACCTAACATTACAAATTGAAAGTTGGCCCGTGCCCAGGATGCCTATACCGTAAGTATCAAGGGTTTTCCTGAACAATTCATGTGCTCTATGAAATAAGCTTTTGGCCAATGCAAATGGTCCAAACGTGGTTCTGCGTTCCAATCAGCACACTCCTCAGTAATCCCTCGTTTCACACTCCCTCAGATTTTTTGGGTTTTACGTTCTTGTTTCAAGCGAGCGGACAATGGACCTGAAGCTTGTCCTGAACAACACGGAGAACGGACTGATGTGGCTGGGCGTCTCTGGCCAGCAGTTGGGTAAACTGGGTCCCGGGGCCAGCATGGACATAGAGCTGACCTTGTTGGCTACGGTTCCAGGACTACAGGTATGGCAGGAAATGCCGGTCATGCTATTTAGCGTCAGCAAGCATCAACAAGCGTCAGCTCCCACAAGTAGCGTTAACAAAGCGTCAACGATTTGAAAATGCTCTCTAAAGATTGAAAAGTGGTTTTTATCATATTTTAGAGACTCTAGGACCAACTACTGTGTAAGAGAAACATTAAATTCGCCTCCAGAATCCTGCAGAAAGATGAAAAGTTTTTGCGATGTATGGAGGCCCCATCTGCCGTCCACGTGAAAAGAAGATGGCGGCCGGTCGGGCTGCATGAGCAGGCCTGACTTTGTCACTCAAATTTCAACACTGAAATATCATTCCAGGTAGACATGATCATTAAATAAGATATGTAGGAGCCCAATTAATATTGGAAATTGAAAATGTGCTTGAATAACTTGTTGACGCTTGTTGATGCTAAATAGCATGACCCATAAATGCCATTGATGCTGTACACGTTCCTCACGCTTTTGGCAGGATTCTGCCGTTTATTTCTGTACCTGGTGAGACGGGTGGCACGGATGGCTTGCGCGCAAAGCCCTCTGCTCTCACCACCGTGGTCCTGGGTGTCGATTCCCGGCACAGAGTGCACGTATATATACACTTGTAGTGAATAGAGTTGTTTGTTGGTAGTCTCCTGTGCCATGGGGTTTTTTCCCTGGATCTCCCAGTTTTCGTCCCTCTGAAAACATCAACTCTTGCAGTCTTTGGCTGTGCTCCGTGGACAGATGCGAGTCATCTGGTGGCTGCCTGAAGCAGCGTTATATGTCTTCTCCTCGGCCATGTTGTAGTTCAGTACGTCTTTGTTGTACAGGGCATTTGCTCATATAATGTGGAATTTGGACTTCACCTTCACGCCGGGACGCGTTAAGACACGCTGTAAAAATTGAGATCCTCAGTCCGCTTTTCAGCTATTATTCTTGGCCCACGCTCGAGCAAACACAGTGAAAGAGGGCAGACCCTGGCTCTTGTGTATATGGTGATTAGTCTTTGTGCATAGCCCAGAAATGAAA